ATGTAAGTGTGTTTGCAGGTTTTTATTAATAATACCATCAATACTATGTTATGGTTGTATTCACACAGTTGTTGTGTTGAGTGTGTTTTCTGCACTGTGTGTAGATGGATTTCCATGTTTGTGTTTAGGTGAGTTTCTGTGTGTCATTTTAGACAACATCCAAAGGAGAGAAACAACACAGACATCACCAAAACAGAATTAATTAATTTGTCTGTTTTTTTTAATAAACTGTTGGGTTTGGGTTTATAGATGACTAGTTTCTTAAATAAAAATAGTATTCAGGGAACTTGTGTACAAACAGATACTTTGTAGCTGCTCATATCGTCTTTGTGTTTGTGTGAGAGTGTAACAGGGTAAAACTGCAGATAGTTGTCCATCCTTCACATTTGTCCTTTTTCTGCAAGCGCTGAGTGAACATGGTTTTTTTTTGGGATTCATTAGTATTGTCCTAAGACGGCTCCCGTAGTCTCCCCCAAACCGGCGGTCTGCGGTTAATGCTGCTGTGAGGAGGTCTGGGTCCAAACCGGTTTGAAGAAGGTTCATATATTAAAGTAAAGACACTCACTTTTAATCTTGGGTGTCCTGCAGACTCCTGCCAGCTGACACTGGACCCCAACACAGCACACAGAGCCCTGTCTCTGTCAGGGGGGAACAGGAAGGCGACACGGGGGGGAGAAGACCACCCATATCCTGATCATCCAGAAAGATTTGACGGCTGGCCCCAAGTTCTGTGTAGAGAGAGTCTGACTGGCCGCTGTTACTGGGAGGCTGAGTGGGATGGATATGGAGCCCTGATAGGAGTGACTTATAAAGGAATCGGTAGGAAAGGAGGGAGTGACTGTCGGCTTGGAGCCAATGACAAGTCATGGATTCTGCACTGTGATCCTGACAGTTACTCTGTCCGGCACAAGAATAAACGGACTTTCATACCCATAGAGCCCTCAGGCTCCCACAGAGTAGGAGTGTATCTGGACTGGGGGGCTGGTGCTCTGTCCTTCTACAGAGTCTCCTCTGATGGACTGACCCCCCTGTACAGATTCACCTCCTCATTCACTGAGCTCCTCTATCCAGGGATTTATCTTTATTATACAAACTCCTCAGTGTCGCTGTGCATGCTGGGATAGCTCAACGTGTGCTGGAGGAATCATTTTTACTGTATCACAGTGTGACATGTTGCTGCTTTTCCACAGTAATTCTCTGCTTTTGAACCTGTATAATCCTTTTTTTTCTTTGAAATTATGTTTCACGACTGGGTTCGGGGAGCTGAGCAAACATGCAAAATAATTGTTTTTCCCTCTAAGTAAAATCTAATGTACATAATATATATTTATGTCTATATATTGTATTTGCTACCTGTAAAATGACAACAAAGGCTTTCTGTTCTGTCCTATTAATGCACCGTACAGCAGCAGAGTGTTTGTATGCTGTTGAGAAGGTGACAGGATGGTTCCTCAGCGTGTGACACAGACCGTCAGACATGGTGGAGGAAAGAAAGGAACAGAATGGTGCTTTTAAAAACATGGAATGGCCAGCAGACTCCAGACTTAAAGCCAACGCCTGGCCCTTGCTGAAGTCCTGCATATATATGCCTGCCCTGTATATGATGCCCATTGTTCCGCATGCACGCTGCAGGACCTGTCACTGATGCCCACTGCTCCACTTGGATGCTGCAGGACCTGTCATTGATGCCCACTGCTCCGCATGCACGCTGCAGGACCTGTCATTGATGCCCACTGTTCCGCATGCACGCTGCAGGACCTGTCACTGATGCCCACTGCTCCACTTGGATGCTGCAGGACCTGTCATTGATGCCCACTGTTCCGCATGCACGCTGCAGGACCTGTCATTGATGCCCACTGTTCCGCTTGGATTCTGCAGGCCCTGTCATTGATGCCCATTGTTCTGCATGCAAGCTGAAGGCCCTGTCATTGATGCTCATTGCTCCGCATGCATGCTGAAGGACCTTTCATTGCATTTATTATCCTGTCATTTCTCTAAGGCAGCGGTCTCTGACCTTACTTACTGTGAAAGCTACTTTTGCAAAAAAATAAATAAACTGCAGTCCTACCGAGGGCGGGTAGTGGCGACAGTACATTTGTTAAAATCAATAAACCTTTCATGTCCACAGCAGCGCGTGACATACATTGCCAAAATACAAAAAAAAAAAACAATTTCTAATAAATATTATACTGACTACCCTCAGGGCTACTATAGAAGTTAGCAGTCGCTGTGTTGGCGACCGTTGCTGTACAGTTTATCTGTTTGTTCTTCTGTGAATTATGTGCAAGGACAAGATATTAATGTATATTGTTAATAGGTCATTTTGTGTTTAGTCTCATAATGCAAATAATAAAAATAATGACTCAACCAGTTACTCTGCTGACATTATAATTTCCAAAAAAAAATTCACTCAAGGCTGTAACGTTGCATGTCTGTCAGAAGGAGGCGCTAAGTCCAGTTGAATGTGGATGTTTTGTGGAACTTCCGCTGTCCGGATATTCACTCTGATCACGCACGACTTACAGGTCACACCAGTTATGCTAACGGTTAGCATTCGCGGTCTAAATTTACCGACACGTAGCTGCCTTTTTCGAATTTAATTTTAAAGAATTCCTGGGTTATATAATCCATGAAACTAGCGACCTGAAAGTTTGCCTTCCGTGTGAAAAGAAAGTAAGCTTTTCGGCTGTTAACGACAGACACGCTTTTAAACACAAAGTTTAATAGTACAGTATCTGCCAGATCAGTTCGTTCGCGTTTGTTGATAAGTGTTTGTATAGTCGATGAATAGAAGCTGAACGTTAAGCACCGCGTCTCCAGCACGATCATGACGCTTCAGGTAGGGTGCCTGTCTTTCCGGCAGCCCTACGCGGGCTTGGTGTTGAATGGCGTGAAGACCATTGAAACGCGATGGCGGCCTCTGCTGTCGGGGCTGAATAACTGCACCCTAGCGGTTCATATCGCGCAGAAGGACTGGGAGGGCGACGAATGGAGGGATGTGCTCAGGGACTCCATCGGCATGAGCGAGCGGCAGATAGAAGAGCTCCTAGTGTCCGGCGAAAGGTTTGGCCGGGGAGTGGTGGCAGGTAAAAGTTAGACCAATGTTCATTAGCTGAATACCATCATCACTGAATACCATTCTCATTAAAAATAAGGATACAGCCAAGGATGCAATTACATGTATGTTTTGTTTTTAAATGAATTGCAGTTCTAAACATAACAGGGTGAATGCAATATATAATACTATGAATATACTGCAGGGGGCAGTAAATAGCACTCGACATCCTTATTTTCCCGAGTTCAAGGCGTCTCCCGGTCAACAAGGGATTGCCTTGTGTTTCAGTTCCTTAAACAATCACAGTCTTCATCGTATGACATCACCACATCGGTCTGTTCTTTTCTCATTTTCAAACTGAAGACGTCCGGCCATAAAGCCGGGGACAGTGTGTCGCTCAGCGGCTTAGCCTCTGTAGCTGTGAGCGGAAGGTCTCTGGTTTGAGCCTGGCCTTGACAGAATCACCGTGTGTCCCTGTGGCCTTTCGCAGGGTCCCTAACCCTCAGCTTATTGTTTTATTATCATCATGAAATAAAGACGCTCCCTTACATTGCTGCGCAGCCTTTGCAGGTGAACATGTTCTTATGCCCCTTAACAAAAGGCAGACGCAATAAAAAGGGTACTTTACCAATCTGTGCACCTTTCCGCTTTACAGAAAGCACAGTTTTTAATGAATGTGGTGATGTCATAGAATGAAGACCGTGATTGGTTATGGAAGTGAAACACAAGCCCCTCCCTTGTTGGCTCAGGGACCAGCTGAACTCAGGAGAATCCAGCCATGCTTCAGATCCTGGGACTGGGAGCTGATGCTGCGTTTGGGCCCCAGAGCAAAGCCCATAGCCCCCAGGTCCAGGGGGGCTGAACGCAGACTGACCCTGCACTGTCTCCCCCAAGCCTGCTGTCATCTGGATATGTGTCTGTGTCTCATGGAGAGCAGGATGGGACAGGAGAAAAGACCAATTTCCTCAGGTGGATCCATGAAGTATCTCTGTTGTATTCTAGCAGCTATGGTGACCACATGTCCACCTTTTTCTGCTCAGGATTGGTGGAAGTCGGGGAAACCTGGGTGTGTCCTAATGATGTATCCAGGGAGGAGCTTGGGCAGCTGGAAAAGGCGGCTGTGCTGATTGGACTGGAAGAAAAGCACCTGACTCATCTGTCCAATCCACGATGGCTGAGAGAGCCACTGTATACCCGTGGCCACAAAGACATTTGGACAGTGGACATTCCGCTGCATCTCCTGTCAGGTTCCCTGTCTGACTGAAGCTGGGTTACACTGCATATTAGGGTTAATATGAACTTTATTGATCCGAGGGTGATATTCTGGAAAATCAGCTTTTTGGGCAACCTTTCATATCATGACAGCAGCGTGTCTCGGACTGGGCTATTGGGCTGAATCCCTGGATATTTTCTCTACAGTCCCCAGCCAGTCCTGCTGGCGGTAGGTTACTGGGGCATGGCATCAGTAACATTACTATCACATTACTATCACATACTTCCCATTAATCTATTTAACTAGTGGAGTCGTTGTCATGGTAATATCTATGTAATAATAATTGTCTTTGTAAATTTGCAGATGAGCTCCTGCACTGATGTTGAATACTTAGGAAGTACATGACTGCTGTTCTCTCCTCAATGAAGTTGTAATGAAAAGCGGATGATAAGATAGAACAGAGTATTTGTGGGGGGGGGGCATGTGGACGGCATGTGGACAGCATGTGGGCTGAGCCCCTGACCTCAATACGCTCTCGACACACCCCTGAAAATAATCATTTATGAATTTTTACTGTAGTTTCATTTTATTATTTGATAAAATTCAGATGCTATTTCTGTAATTACATTTAATAATACCAGCATTTTTTTTTAATTTTATTATTATTATTTTAAACCTGAAGGTTATATGAAAGGAAAACTTACAACGGAACACATTTCGAGTTTCGAAATATACACTCCCGCGTATGTACCAAAGGTAAGCTTAAAGTGACTGTAGTACAAAAGAGTGCAGTGTGTACATGTTCATCTGTATCAGTGCTTGAAGTGGAAGTTTTACTGT